AAGCTTGAATATATATATATATATATATATATATAAAAGCTTATTAAACTTAACTAAAACTATAAAATATATTTTTATTGAAATAACAAAAATGGCAAAAATCACTATTTAAAAACAGTTTTACTACTACTATTGACATCGATATTATAAATAATATTTTTACATCAAATAAACATCAGTTTTAAATTATTATATTATATTATGTTTCGAAATCAACGCCTACGCTAGCATTTAAAGATAAAAGCAATAGAATTATTTGATTATTAAATTATATCATATATTAAAATCAAAAAATTAAAAAAATATATAACTAAAATTTTTATAAAATATAAAATTAAATATAAATTCTATGAATTCAGATAATAGTCGTGAAACCTATGAATAACAAAATGAATCCCAAAAAATTTCATTTTATGTAAAATTTATGAATTTAGTTTTTATATAATAATGTTAATATATTTCTACATTTAATGCATAATAAGATGTCCGTAAAAAAGAGATATAGGAAGCTATAGATAAACTGTGTATAAATTTAGATAAAAACAAAAATACTAAATGTTTTATATGAACGACACTATTCACGTTATTCATAAAATTTTAATGAAAGCTCTGAATATACATTAAATTTTCACATTTGTCTCAATAGAATATTCAATAAAATTTGTAATCAATTGAATATTTGCTTTTGTAGTATTGTTTATTGTATTATTAAACTTGTAGTGATTTTTTCATATATTGTATTCTATAATATAATTATTGATAAAAATATTTTCAAAGTTGTAGTAAAATCATAGATCAGTTATAGAAAGAAGCCATTGATTTGAATTATTTTACATAATTTTTTGATATTTTAATAGAACTAAGTTATAATTACAATAATAAAATAAATTTAGAGTATTTTCTTAATTATTTAAAATTATTAAAAAAATATAAATATATAGAACTTATTTATTTTTATTATTATTATTGTTTTAAAATAATATTATTATTATACATGTTTTTAAATTTTGATTATTTTGTACTTAATTTAAACTATTTAATTTAATTTATTAAAAATTAATAGAAATAAAGCATAAAAACAATATTTAAGAGAAAATTTAATTCTCTAACTTTAAAAAATGATAAATTTTGTCGACAAAATTTTAAGGGATTGTCTTTTCTTTTTTAACGATTTTTTAAAAATTTTGTCAAAATGTAGCAAAATCTTGGTTTTATCTGATGGTGTAAAATGGAGAGAGACTACCATTTATTATAAATATTATACAAATTAATATTAAATGTTTACAAACTAAACGATATTTCATATAATATTGGACTTAATTTAATTAAAGTTTAATATTTGATATAACCGCCAKTGTCCGCAATACACTTATCAAGCTTTTTACTTTAACTGATGTTTTATATATAATAGTTTATAAAATTTTCATTATCTTTATAATTTTACTTAATTAATATAATATATATATATATAATAAAATATCTTAAATCTTAATTAATAATTTTAATTATTTAGTAGTCCATTGAAACTTTCAACAAGTTACTTATTTGTTATAATTTGTTATAACAATAGAAATTGTTTTTAATAATTTGTATACTTAAAAAACACAAATTATATTAACAACCAATTAAAAAAACATTTTTAGTGTTAAATTTTTTAAAATTATACTATAAGTTATACATTATGTTTCATGAATTACTGTATAACATATACCATAAATAGATAATAAATTTATATTTTTGGTATAATTTTTTGTTGCTATTGATAACAATTACTGTTAAGTGTTTACATAAGATTAAAATATAAAAATCTTACCAAATTTTATTATAATAAAATTATAGAAAAATAACATTATGTATAATTCTCAGAAAATAAATTAATATTTTAATAAATATTTTTTAAAATTTACAACTTATATTTCAAAAACAAATGTTTAATATTTAAAAAAATATATTTTTTAATAATATAACTATTAAACACATAGTAAAATGATATTTATTTAGGTAATTTAATTTAATTATATATATATATATATTGTATACACACACACACACACATACACATATCATTTTTAAAACGTTATATTTAAAATAAATCATTAATCAAACTTTAAAATTATACTTTAGCAAGTATATTTTAAAGCATTTTTAATTAAATATTTATTTTGTTAATTATACTTATTAATTAAATATGTTAACATTTTAAATATTTTAATTAATAATAAAAATCATAACTTATTAAATTAATTTAATGATTTGTAGATTAACTTATAATACACATATTATTAATAAAATACAGATAGTATATTAAAACGACTTAATTAATTCATAATTATAGTTATTATGACAAATTGTTTCTAATATTTTAATACTGTATAGTAATAATAATTAAAAGATTAATATTAAAAGTATTAGACAATGTAAAAGTATTAGAAACGTTTTATAAGGTTAACTATATTTTTGTATTAATTAGTAAACTTTAACTGTATATTCAGTTAATTTTTTCGTAAATATTTTCATGTGAATTAAACAGATTTTATACTTAAGTTTTAACGTTAATTTTATTAATTAAGCACTATAAAATTTTTAATAATAATTAGATTTATTATTTCTGCAAAAGTTTTAATTCATATAGAGTTGGGACAATTTTTCAAGGGAGAGATGTTTCCCAATAAAATTTACATTTTTTTCGGATTATATTATATTTTCCTTCCCTTCATCGTTAGAAAAAAACTAATTTATATTATTTGAATAAATACTACTAAACAGAAATACAGAGCATTTGACACGCATTGGCTCATATTAGTGCTAAATATGTTAGGGTCAATTTATGAATTTATATTTTGAAGAAACTATATTTTTTAGATCTAAAGATAAAATTGCATTTTAAATGACATTTTTATCATTATGCGATAAAATAGTTTTGAAATCATAACAATATTTATTTTTAAAATAAAAAGTTCAACTCTAAGATTGGATTTTGTCAAATGCTCTGTATCTCTGCTATTGAAGCCAATGTTTTGCATAAAATTTCAATGAAATATTTTTTTTAAATAATTTGAATTAACTAAATTTAGTAATACTATTTAACAATATCACTGAATATACAGTTTACTATAACATTTGCTTTTCAACTACTATAATAAAATGTGTTGTTTAGGGTTTAATAAGTGGTAGCACAAGAAAATTTATTTCATGAAATTCCCAGAAAGCAGTGAAAAAAGAAAACTTTTAGAAAATATATAAAACTAGAAATAAAATTTTGTTGAACCCTAAAACGTATATAATTTATACAATTATTAAATTTGAATTTTACTGTTTATTATTTAGTATTATGTTTATATATTTTTACTATCATATTATATAATATATATAAACAAATTGTTAGATATTTTTATTTAGCTTCAAGCAATATATTAAATTTTATAAACAAATTTTTAATAATTGAATTATTTTATTTTTATATATTTATTGTTTACATATTTTATTAATATTTAATATACAAAATTTAAAGAAATTAAAATTATATGTTTTGTATTTTAACAACATTTTAAGCTTTATTACAATTAATCAAATAATTACCATCTGTTGAGTATTTTATTAAAATATAAAAATTAATAAATAATTTTTTATTAATACTTTGTAAGTATAGAAATAATGTTTCTAAAAAAGAAATCAATTAATTTTGATTTTAAAACAGATTAACATTTATTTTGTGGACTTTTAATATGATTTATTTATGGCAAACACAATGACTTTTGTTGTTATAAATAATTTTTACATTAATTTATCAAATGTCCAATTATTATGAGATAAATAGCAAATACTCTATATTATTGATTATTTAGTGTTTTTAATTTAAATATACAGATTAATTTATGGTATGTATGTACAATACTAAATAAAGTATATATTTTTATACATATTAAGTGCTCAGTCCTATAAACACCTAAACATTAATCAATGTAATTTACAGAATATAACTATGATTATTAATATTAATTTATAAAATAAATTACATTTATGCTAAAATACAAATTAATTAAAAGAAAATAAGTTATTTTTTAATTAATCTACTTATTATGTACATTATTTTTATACCATACATATATGGTATTATAATATCAATAGTATATTAACAATAGTCATAAATATAATAAATTGAATCAGTGGAAAATAACTTATTTTTGAAAATATAATAAACAGTTTAAATTAGAAAAAATATAATAATATAAAAGCATTCATAATCTAAATTTATTTTTCGTTGATATTATTTTTTTAAATATAAAAAATATTTTTGAAAATAAAAATAAAGGTATGTAAAAAAGTAAGCGCATTGTCAGTGTATAACTACTACAATATGACATTATATGTCGGATGTGATCCACAGAATCAATGGGCACTTCTATGTAATGTACAGTAAATTCATGGATATAAACGATAAGCGATTCGTCTCCAACTCATTCATTCACTACTCTCTCAATTCACTTACTTTTATAATGTTTAAAGAGATAAATAGTATGCCGTCTCTAACCTAACTAAACATTGCTTAAAAAATAACTAAAAGAATATTCTTTAATAATATTTTATAAAAAGTAATATTTATATTATATTTTCTTTACTTAAAATAATTATAAATTTGTTGATATGATTAATCAAAACAAAATTATTGAATAATAAATAATACAAATGATATTTATGTAATTAATCTAAATAATTATAAGACAAATATTGTAATAAGTTTTATTAATAATAAAGTGAAAAATCGATATATTTGTATGAAAGCAGATATAACTGATAAACTGTTTCCCTAATTAAAGTACTACTTATTTCAGTGTTTACTCTATTTATTAAAAGATTTTCCATAAGAAGAAAAGGCTTTCCTCTAAAAAATAAAATAAAAACAATTTACTGAAAGAGTTCCGACCACAAGATTTTCAAAACAAACAGGAATTAGTTTAAAAAACTTAATGTTATTGATTCACTCAATATTGTTAAAGATAATGAGTGACTTGAACTACAACTGGAACAACAACAACAACAACCATAACAATAACATGACAGATATGATGGTCATAYCGGTGGCCAACTCGTCGATGACCACTAAAATAAGCGGTTCGTTGGACTCATTGGAAGCGCTGCCATTGTGGCCGTGGCAGGTCATACTCATTAGCCTATACTCAATGACGGCATTTGTTTCGTTGGCCAGTAATCTCATTACAATTATTGTACTCATTAAAGGCGATAAAATATCATCTGAATTGTGGAAATTTTTGATCAATCTTTGTATATCTGATATCTCGATGTCTGTCTTTTCCATACCATTCACTTACACCATCTTTATGAAGGGTCGTTGGATTTTTCCCAACGAGTTGTGTCCATTGGTTCACTTCGCTCAGATCTGTTCTGTGTTTGTCAGTGTGTGGACACTAACCATCATTGGGATCGACAGGTTTGTTACCATATCTTCATTAACATATATTATTCATATTATAAATAATTATTATATAGATTATCATTATTTATCACACATAATTAATATTTTATTTTTATCGTTTTATATAACATTAATTTTTTACACGCAAAATAACACTAAGGCTTATACAGGTATAAACTTATACARTATATTGAATAAGTAGTTTATAACGCATTTAGTATAATACACCAAAATATGCAAATAATGTATAATACAAATTGAATTATTAATGAATATAAAATTTATAGTAAGTTTTTAGAAATAAATAAAAAGCAATTTAAATGTTATTTGTTTATTTGCTTTCAATAAATATATCTTTATTTACATTATTTASAGAAAAATCATTAATTATACTATTTATTTACTAAACTTATAACATATAATATTAAATTATGTGGTTTATTGTAGAATACAATTTATTAAGATTACCTTTCATGTATAATACAATAAATCAAAAATTGAATTAAACGTTTAATTATATATATACTAACTTATATATATTGTATATATACGTATAATATTATATATATAATTGTATAAATAATATATAATTTGACACGTCATTAAATTAAAGCCAGTCAATCAATAAATTTTTTCAATACTATTTGTTATTTATATTGTTTATTATATTGATATACTTAGACATACCTATACATATAAATATATTTGTTTTAATATAAGTAATAATAATAATTAATAAGTTTAAGTATATATGATTTTATCAATGTATGACTAAAATTGGAGTTTTATTTAATAATAAATTTTCTCAAATGTTTTTGGCGTTCAGTAAGAATTCTATTGAATTACAATTGAATTAATAGATTACAAGCAACACATGTTTGAAAGCATTTTATAATATAATTATTATATTTTTTGATTAAAACTTCTTTTCAATAGTAAAAATCGTTTTATTCTTTTTTTAATTTAATCTTCTAATAAATTACTTCTAATTTTTCTGTCATTTTGATTATTAATTAATTTAATTATTTTAATTGATTCAAAAAAAAAATTATTTTTGTAAAACACTAATATTTATATTATAAATAAGATTAAGCTATGATTTTATTTTTTATTACAATTATTTATAATATCTGTTTACTTTTAAAATATTGTTTTTGTGTTTTATTTTGTAATTATAATTTTTGCTCAGATCATTAGTTTTCATTATTTATATAATTATGAGTATTAAATTAATATTTTTAATTGCTTATTTGAATTATTTAAACTAAAAATTTTTATGTTATTAAAATGCTATTTTTTAATGTAATATTTCATGTTTTGCATTTTATTGTAATAAATTCATTAGATTTATATTGGATAACAGTATTATATATTGTAATTTATTATAATAACAATAATAATATTTAATAAAATAATAAAATATTTAGTATTAAATAGGAAAATATATGTAATAAAACTTTCAATCATTGGATCAAATTATTAGTAGTTATTTCTGTATTTTTATGTTTATTCATTCATTCATTTATTCTATTGAATTATAGTATAAATAATAGATTAAATAAGATAACAATAAATAAAAATATTGTAATCATAATACTAATCTGTATTATATACTTATATATAATATATACCACTTGTAATAATAATATTAATATTTAATATAAAAGTGTTAGAAATAAAATGACAATATAATTTATTGAATTAAAATAATTGATTAACATTTAATGTACATTTATTTTAGGGGTGATTTATATATTACGTTCGCACTTGGAGGAGGGTGTCGCCCAAAGCGAAGTTTTACGAACAAAGGGAGGGTAGAGAGCTTAAAAACTTTCGCATTTAGATATTTTATTTCTTAGGGGTGGGATGTTAGAGATTAGGGACATGCGAACGTAATATGTGAATCATTCCTTAATAACTTATTTAATGATGTATTTAAATAATAATTTATTAAAAGTATTTTGCTTTAATTTATATAATTTATCTTTAATGTAATAGAAACATTTAATAGTTTATTTAATCAGCTTATTTTTACAGTTTTATTTATCGTAATTTATCTAATTTATGAATATATTTTTATAAAAATTTATTTATACATGTTATAATTTTTAAAGATTAAATATAAATCATATATAAATAATTGTTAATTATTGTATTTTAATTTTCAAATTAAATATCATTAAAAACTAAATATCAACAAAAATAATTATTTGTCATAATAATAAATATACAATTTTAGTTATTTTATCTAAAATCGAAATACAATTAAAACTTTATAATAAACAAAATAGTAATTTATTTATAACATAATATTATCGTTTATACAATATTTTGACACTTGAGAATATCATAAAAATATATATCAAATAATTTATTGCTTATAATCTTAATGTTAACTTTAACATTTAGAAATATTCGTATTAACTTTTATTTTTGTTTTAAGTATCGTTAGTCTAAATATATTTTTTATTATATAAAGTAATATTTTTGAGGTAAAAATAGAGTTTGAAAATAAAATTTATAATAACTAAGAAAGTTATAGAAACTTTCTAGAAAACAATTCTGTCTATGAGATCTCCATTTCAATTTGTTAGCTTATAAGTTATAACATTACAAATAATTATTAATTTCATTAACTATTATTAGTATTTTAATTAAAATTTAAAATAACAAAAATAATTCATTTTATTACTTATTTTATTTTATTTAAACTTTTAGTCATTACAATTAATTAAAAATAATTAAAATATTATTAGATTTATATTTAGTTATTCTATTTGTATAGTATTGTAGACGATTTGTAGTGTATGTAAACATCAATAATAAAAAAGTTATATTATTGAATAAATGTTGGAATTTATAGTATTTTAAGATTGTATAAATATTTATTTCTGAGAAATTTTCTAAATTTATTTTTATAGAAACTTATTAGAAATTTTTATTTCCTCATCTCTAGTAAAAGACAAGGAATGCTTTTGTAAACAAATAAATAAAAAAAAAACTTAAAATATGAAGAAAAGATTTTATATACGAAATCTTTATATATATATTATAGTATTTTTACAAAATATTTGTTGGATATTTGCTTATGAAATAGTGAAAAGTATTATTTTTCAAAATATATAAATTTCAGATAAATATATTGAAAAAATAGATATTTTAAAAAGGATGGATAAAATCTATTGAACATTGTTTTGTTCACATTTATGACTACATTTAAATATAAGAAGCTATAATTTATCATATTGTATAAACATTTTTTTATAGATATAATCGTTTTTAAACATTTGAATATTTGACACATTATATGCATTATGAATGCATAGAGTATATGTGACAAAATTATACATCAATAAATTTAATGGAAAAATTACATTTATAAATAATTTTTTATTTTTAAAAATTGGCTTTTAGTAGATATATGTTTTGTTGGTTAATAAAAATTTGTTTTTAATATAGTCATAACCACTAGTTAAATAAGTTGAATGTAAACGCATCTAAATATTAAATTTGACTATATTGAATAATATAATATAAAATAATTTATATTTTAAGCTTTATTTTATATTAATTATAATTTTAATAATTAATAGTACCTTGTATATTTATGTACAAGTTATTTTAATAATTATTTATCATATACTATACATTATAAAATCAGTATAATTAAATATTTATTTATAATTTTTATATAAGAATCCTTAAAAATTTTAATAACATTTTTAATCTTAATTATTGATTTATTTTATTTATATTTAATATAATTTTTTCTATACATAAAATAATTTATAACAAACAATATATCATACATTTATATAATTATATTAAGTTTTTTAGTTAAATATAATTAGAGTTTCTAACTTTAGTTAGAATTATGTATCCAAAACATATGAGCAAACAATTATGATGAGACAAATTTCAATATATTTAGTATACAAAAAATGATAATTTTGAATGAGAAAAGCCTCAAAATATCAATCATTATAATTAGTATACTATTTTGATAATATTGGTTAAATAATATTGATATTTACAAAGTATAAATTTTTTGTTATTATCACATGATGTTTATGATCACACCATTAAGTATGTATTAATAATTGTAATTGTGATGTAATTTATAAATATCCTATTTTTGGGTCATTTTAGTTTTGACTAACATTTTATTGTAATTGTGATGACAATAAAAGTTTGTCAATTGTTAGTCTTATGATATTTTTTAACATTTATTTGATGACAAAACTTAATATTACTTAACTTATAATTACAAACACTTATATAACTGAAATTAATTCTTGAAACATATTATTGTCACTAAAATTATTGACAACAATAAAAATTTTAAATACAATTTTAAGTAACATATTTCAAACTTAACAGTAGTTTAATAACTTAAGTATAATTATTAATTACTTTAAACCAAAAATACTCTTCAAAATCCAGTTTCTATACAGTAGTCAAATAAATTCAAATATCAATAACAAACTCATAATAAAAAGTAATATTATTTAATAAATTCATAAAATTTTTATCAATTGATTATCTATTTGTAAGTATTTAAATACAGTATTAATTGTTTTTATACATATATATATAAAAAATATATAAAAATAATTATTATTTACTAATTTAGTAATAACTAGATAAGTATATGATAAAAATAACAAAATTACAAATAAATTATTATATAAATATATTTAGCATCTTATCATTAAATATAATAATTTATTTGAATTATATGAGATATGTAGGGATAATTGTGTTACTATTGGACTGTATATTTATGTTTGTTTGTATTACTTTTTCGCAATATATTTGTAATGATCACGTAATATTAATAAATTGAATAAAAAATATTTCTAGATTTTTCAAATAAATTAATATAATTACATAGTTAATAATATTACTTTATCTGGACATTATATAAATAATTTATATTTTTATATAATAGGTAAAATACGGAAATTGAATATATAAATATAAATCAATTTTATTGTGTAAATATATCGGTAATATAATACTTATTATTATTTTCTTAATGATATAACAACAATAAAATAATATAAATTATAAAAACAACTAAAGTTTTTTTTATTGTCAAACGTATGAAATATTATTTGTATTTGAACATTTTTACTTTTAATATTTATAATTTATGAATTTAAACAAATAAATA